TTCCGCCTCGGCCCTCCGGATGGTGTCTGACCACCGGTCGGCCTTCCTGACGGGGGCGGGGTCCCGCCGGCGCCACGGGTCCCGGCTCTGGTGCAGGCGTCGCAGGGGCACCAGCGAGCGGGACTCGACCTCGGCGAGGCTCGGGGTCGCCGACGGGTACGGGTCGAGGAGGGGGCTGCTCAGGGTGTCCGTCGGGGCCGAGTCGGTGGTGCCGCGGAAGGGCGCGAGGGCCCGGGTGGTCGCCAGCAGGAAGGCGAGGGCGAAGAGAGGCACGGCCGTCGAGGGCGCCTGCATCGTCCTTTTTTGGCGAAAGTCAAGTTACCAATGCACTGGGAAGCGGCCACGAATGCTTTCACTCGTGATTATCATAGTAAATACCACTTTCTTCTCACTGCCAACTGGATGACGTGATTGTTATTGGTGAATTTAAAAAAATGCACAGATTTCTCGTAGAATTAAACTTATATATGGTTATTTCTTACTGTTTCCTTTTCAGACACACTGCAATAAGCTGTAGATCACGTGTTTTTAAGTATTTAAAGTCCCAACTCTTGCATCAGAAAATCCTTGCAAGTCGTCACACCATCGCACCTGAAAAAACAAGAAAAAGAAAAAAAGACGAAATTAATGGAATATTTTTTCTTTACGAGCCAATAAAGACACAACCCTATTTGTTTTATTAATTTATATTTACTTTTAAATTAGTCCCCATTAGTCTTTTTTTTTAATCGATAATTAGTCGAGCCTCGATATAACGAAACCTTGATCCGGAGACCGAGTCACTGTCGGGTCTTTCATTCGGCGACCTTCGTGCCTGTTCGTGCGTCGACGCCTGTTAATACACATTAGAGAGATGAAAAGCGATTTCCTCTCGATTTGTCTTCTGTTTGTATTTCGGCCTGGGGGGGGGAGGGAGGAAGGGCTAGGGTCGGTTGGTTCGGTTCGGTCTCTCTCTTTCTCTCTCTTTCCCTCTCTTTCTCTCTCTTTCTCTTTCTTTCTCATTCTCTTTCTTTCTCTCTCTCTTTCTTTCTCTCTCTCTTTCTTTCTCTCTCTCTCTTTCTCTCTCTCTCTTTCTCTCTCTCTCTCTCTCTCTCTCTCTCTCTCTCTCTCTCTCTCTCTCTCTCTCTCTCCCTCCCTCCCTCCCTCCCTCCCTCCCTCTCCCTCTCCCTCTCTCTCTCTCTTTTCTCTCTCTTTTCTCTCTCTTTCTCTCTCTCTCTCTCTCTCTCTCACTCTCTCTCTCTCTCTCTCTCTCTCTCTCTCTCTCTCTCTCTCTCTCTCTCTCTCTCTCTCTCTCTCTCTGTTTCTCTGTCACTCTTTCTCTATCTTTCAATCACTCTTTGTTTGCTTATTTGTTTCTCCTCCTTCCTTCCTCTTTGGACCTCTCCCTCCTTCCCTCCTTCCCTCCTCCCTTCCCTCCCTCCTTCCCTCCCTCCTTCCCTCCCTCCTTCCCTCCCTCCTTCCCTCCCTCCTTCCCTCCCTCCCTTGCTTTCTTTTTCTTTCTTATTCTATTTTGCCTCCTTTTCTTCTATCTTCCTTTCCTTTTCAATCCCTTTCTCTCTTGCTTGCAACACTCTTATATTTTCTCGCTTTAAGAAACACATCAATCCCAAAATGAAGAAAAAGATGAAATAGTTAATAATAATAATAATAATGACAATGACAATGATAATAATAATAATAATAATAATAATAATAATAATAATAATAATAATAATAATAATAATAATAATAATAATAATAATAGTAGTAGTAATAATAGTAATAGTAATAATAGTAATAGTAATGGTGATGATAATAATGATAATAATAATAATAATAATAATAATAATAATAACAATAATAATAATAATAGTGGTAGTAGTACTAGTAATAGTAATGATGATGATGATGATAATGATAATGATAATAATAATAATGATGATAATGATAAGGATAAATCACACACACGTATTATATTGTGATTATACTTAATATAAATCTGTGGTTAATAAAGGTAAAGATTGTATTCATCCCCCCCCCCCCCCCCCCGTTCTTTTGACGTTCATATTGCTAACGATGGTGGTTCGGTATAATGTTAATTTGTATAATAAAAACGCACTTCTACTTGTTATGCAACGGGATATTACCGTTTGTGTTGCAAAGGAAATTCAAACTTTTTTGTTGTTGGTACAAACGTTTTGTTTATGTCGCTGATACGAGTTGGTCTTTTCTGTTAGTACGAACTTTTTGCTTCTGTTGTTGGTACGAATGTTTGTTTGTGTTGTTGATACGAATTCTTTGTGTTAGTACGAATGTTTGTTTCTGTTGTTGTTACGAATTCTTCATTTCTGTTAGTATGAATGTTTTGCTTCTGTTGTTAGTAGGAATATTTGTTTCTGTTGTTGGGACGAATTCTTTGTTTGTGTTTGTGTGATGGAAATTCCCTTTCACGCTTTCTGTTATTGGTACGAATTCTTTGTTTGTGTTTGTGCGATGGAAATTCCCTTTCACGCTTTCTGTTATTGGTACGAATCTTGTCTGTGTAATTCGTAGCTGGGGGGGTGGGGGGTGGAGGAGGGTGTGGAAGTGATGTTCACACCTCGTGGGAGTTTGCGAAAGTGTGTGGGACTGAACGTTAATAACGGGCGTAATTTTCTATCGTGATGGCTATCTTCTCTCTCTTTCTCTTATCTTTCTCTCTTTCCATGTTTCTCTGTGTTTTTGTTTGTGTTTGTCACACTCTCTCTTTCTCTTTCTCTCTTTCTATTTTTATCTCTCTATTTCTCTTTCTGTTTCTCTTTCTATTTCTCTCTCTCTCTCTCTCTCTCTCTCTCCCTCCCTCCCTCCCTCCTCCCTCCCTCCCTCTCCCTTCTCCCTTCTCCCTCCTCCCTTCTCCCTCCCTCCTCCCTCCCTCCTCCCTCCCTCCTCCCTCCCTCCCATCTATCTCCCTTTATCTATCTTTCCCCGACGATACTGTAACACTTACCCACTAGTGTGAAGCAATGGGTGTAAATCATGCAAGATCTTCATTAATTATGCATGTTCTTTCTCGTTTTCCCTGCAGGTGTACCAACATGTTCTTTATTTCATACTTAAGAAAGTTTTTCTTTTTCTCTTTGAAGCATGTATCTTTTTCTCCTTTTTCCTCGTCTCCTTTTAAACGTATTTGTTTTTCTCATTCACAAACATGTTTTTTTGTTAATTTTAAGTATTTATCTTTCTCAATTAAACGTGTTTCATTTTCTCATTCATACATGTTTTTTGGTCACTTTTAAGCACGTTTCTTTTCTCAATTAAACGTGTTTCTTTTTCTCTCTTTTAATCTTATTCTTTTTTTCTCCCCCCCCACAGGTGTACCAACTCCGTACACCACTGATTTGACTTCCTTGCCTTCATGACCAGGTGAGTACAGTGTATATTACAGTGTGTGTTGTTATCATCATTAATATCATTATTGTTATTGCTATCGTTATCGTTATCAGCATTTTTGTTGTTGTTATTGTTATTATTATTATTATTATTGTTGTTGTTGTTGTTAGTATAGTTAATAATATTATTGTTATTGTTTTATTGTTATTTTTATTAATGTTATATTTTATTATTATTGTTATTATTATTATTATTATTATTATTATTATTATTATTATTATTATTATTATTATTATTGTTATTACTTGCCGTAATTTGTTGTTATTTAATCCTTCTCGTTTTCTTTGCAATGTTGAATTCTGTTGCAATACGATAATGGGGCGACATTCACGTTGCGTCATTTGCAACAGATTTTCTTCCATTGACCTCTGAACTTTTATTTGGGGTTCTGATAATTTTTTTTTTCTTTTTTTCTTTTTCTTTTTCTTTTTTTTCTTTTACTGGGGGAGGGGGGTATTTATTTATATATTTTTTTTACTTTGAGTTAAGGAGGGAAAGAGTGTGTGAGGGAGGGAGGGAAGGAGGGAGGGAGAGAGTGAGTGAGTGAGGGAGGGAGTGAGGGAGGGAGGGAGGGAAGGAGGGAGGGAAAGAGTGAGTGAGGGAGGGAGGGAGTGAGGGAGGGAGGGAGGGAGGGAAAGAGTGAGTGAGGGAGGGAGGGAGGGAGGGAAAGAGTGAGGGAGGGAGGGAGGGAAGGAGGGAGGGAGGGAGGGAGGGAGGGAGGGAGGGAGGGAGGGAAGCGACCAAGGAAGGAAGGAAGGAAAGAAAGAAAGAAAGAAAGATGTAGGTAGCGAGGGAGAGACGGAAAGAAGGAAGGAAGCAAGCAAAGGAGAAAGTAAGGAAGTAGGTAGAAAGGGAGAGAGGGAGGGAAGAGAAGGGAAAAAAAGAGAAGAGAAGAGAAGAGAAGGGAAAGGAAAAAGGAAAGGAAGAGAAGGGAGCCAGAGAGGATTTTCCAAAGGGAGGGAAAGAGAGCGGGAGGGGCAGGGGGGGGAGGGGGAGGGGCAGAGGGGGGGAGGGGGGAGGGGGGAGGGAACCCAGCCTTGTGCCGGATGTTCAAGTAACACGAATTATTACCATCGCGTCATTTCGTTCATCACTGATTTATGGCGACAGCGTGTGAGCTGTACTTTTTTTTCTATTTTTTTTTTTTTTTATTTCGTGTGTATGGTGTGCATTTTTTTTCGTTTTGTGTGTGTGAGTTTGTGTATAGGTGATGTGTGGGGGTGGGGGGTTGTGTGTGTGTGTGAGAGAGAGAGAGAGAGAGAGAGAGAGAGAGAGAGAGAGAGAGAGAGAGAGAGAGAGAGAGAGAGAGAGAGAGAGTAGTGAGAGAGAGAGTCTATGTAAGTATGTATGTAAACGAGATGAGAGCACTTACATATAAACAAATTCAAAATTCAAATTCAAATACATAGTAAACAAACTCAAAACTTTAACATCCTCTATCACTCATATATTCATACATTTCAGTACATACATTCGACGATTTTTCTTTTTCTTTTTTTTTTATTTTCTTGCACATCGTAAAATCATGTTCTGCATCAACAACTCGTCCCTGACACGTCTGTGACATGTTCTCTACCTGTTATTACGTGTCG